AGTTGAAGTCTACTGGTTGTTTATTTGTATTTGGTTTCCGTGCTTGACCTAACCCGCCCAGGTCCGGATGCATAACCAGGGAGTCGATTACTGCGAATCCAATGACCCGCCCTGGCTTGGCGCATCAGGGAATCCTGGGATTCTGATTTTAGCCGCTCCAGCCGGGTTAGCTACTTCCAAACCGGCAAACGCTCACCCCCGTGAATCCGTTACTCTTTTTCATCTCTTCATTCGTCCGTTTACATTTGCCTCAAGCTACGGTTGTTACGGCTTTATGGCTGAGCGACCAGAAAGTCGTGGCCTATTTACCACATTTCAATAGAATGCGGTCTTATGGCAATGCATAATCAACCGGTAGGTGTAAACAGATCCAGTGTGGTTGAGTCACTGGGCTTAAATGGTAGTAAACAAGCACACAAGCATGCCAAATTGCACATACATATACATGTCGGTATGCATGCATCGATCACTTGGCGGATGAACACCGAATCGCTCATGTCACCTGCACGATGACAACTTCGAGACCCTTGGGGACCCTTTTATCTGGAGTTTCCGAGGTGTGGCACAATCGGTCTGGCAGGTACTGCTCAAGTCTGCTGACCCGACAGACGGTAGTGCACACATGCAACTCAGAAATCGTCGTATAGTCACTGCTATCAGAGGTGTCTTTTGGTTGGCCTCTTCACTCTGGATTACTAGTCTGCGGCATCTTACTTCGCCTGCTTCAAGCAAAGCAACCCTATCCTTGTTAGACAGGTGGATCGCAATCAGGAGAGAGCACGTCAGGAGGGAGTGAAACAAGTCTGAGTTTGATGGTATAATTATGAGAAGTTTGTCTCAAAATAAGATTTACCACCAGAGTCAGTTAGACGGGGAGGATGCGAAATATCGTGTCTTTGCATGAAATCGTCTGTCTTTTAACAAGGAATATGGCAAATTTAGGAGCCGTTCTTGCCATGCAGATAAACACATCATTCTTGTCTTCTACTTCGTATGAAGTTATTTGTAATATTGGTATAATCTAACAGCAAAAAGTATTGACGTATATTTGTGAGAGTTGACTTGTGCGAAGCAATTCTCGGCGCACAGTTCCGAGACTCAGATTAAATTAAAGGCTCAATTAGATGGAATCGCAAAGAGATTTTTTGAAACGCAACTTTACTTTATGTTTAGTGAGAGATCATGCCCCCACCTACGCAAACCATAAATTTGCTTACACCAGCCTTAACTATGACAGTTACCCTATTTAGAGAGCTACATAAGATATTGCCATCCCTTTCGTACCTAAATTCGAGAACCCCGACATGGCAATCCATGATGTGAAGACTTCATTTCGTATGGAAGTACATGATGAAGAGATTCGTTGGTCACCATAAGATGCCGGCCTATTCGCTCCAAACCAATGTCGGGTTTTTTGCTCACTTCGAGTGTTTGGGTGAACAGACAAGATAAAAGTTCCTGTTAGCAAGAATTTGGTATGCGGGGTGCCTCTGACCAGAAAACGGCAGCAGGAAACGAGTGATTTAAGGTTATTTCAAGTTCTTGAAAATCATCATATTGATTGACAAAA